AACTAGTACAACTAATAAGAGATTAGCAAAGTTGCAGGATATAAGATCAGTAAACAAAAGTCAATAACATGTCTATATATTACCAATTAATCAAAAATGAAGATAAGTTCAGGTAAAATAGCATCAAAAAAGAATAAATTACATAGGCATAAGTTTAAAAAAAAAGGGTTAGACTTATATACCAACCACTATAAAGCATTGTTGAAAGAAATTAAAGATCTGACTATGTGGAAAGACACCTGTGGTCATGGATCACAAGACTTGATATTGGTAAGATGGCAGTACTCCCCAAATTGACCTATAGATTCAGCACAATCTTTGTTAAAATCCCAGCAGGCCTCAGCGCAAGAATTGACATGCTGATCCTTAAATTCATAAGGGAATCCAGAAGACCCAGAATATTCAAAATTAGCTTGAAAAAGAATGAAGTATAAGGACTTACACATCTTGATTTCAAAATTTATTAAAAAGGAAATGTAAAAAAAAAAAAAAAAAAAAAGGTTAGAGTGGGAGAGAGCCAAAGCATAAGAGACTGTTGAGAACTGAGAACAAACTAAGGGTTGATGGGGGGTGGGAGGGAGGAGAGGGTGGGTGATGGGTATTGAGGAGGGCACCTTTTGGGATGAGCACTGGGTGTTGTATGGAAACCAATTTGACAATAAATTTCATATATAAATAAAAAAAAAAAAGAAAAAGGAAATGTAGTCAAGACAGTGTGGAATTGGCATAAAGATAGACACTAGAATAGTGAAATATAATTGAGAGTCCAGGTATAAATCCTTCAATGTATAATGAATTGCTCTTTGACAAGAGTGGCAAATTCAATTCAATGACAAAAGAATAGTTTATTTGACAAATGGTGCTGGGACAATTGGATACTACATGCAAAGAATAAGACCAATATCTCCCACCATATACAAGAATTAAGTAAAAATAAATCATAGACCTAAATGTAAGAGTTAAAACTATGAAACTCAGAAGAAAACATAGGAGTAAATCTTCATGACTTTGGGTTGGGCAGTGGTTTCTTAAATGTGACACCAAAAGCTGAAGTGACAAAAGAAAAATTCAAAATTTTGACATCAGAATTAAAAATCTCAGAATGTTTCAAAGGATACCATCAAGAAAGTGAAAACACAACCCAGAGAATGGGAGGAAATATTTGCAAATTTCATATCTGATGAGGGACTTGTATCTATAATATATAAAGAACCCTTACAGCTCAATAATAAAAAAAGATAAACAGCTCAATTTAAAAATGAGCAAAGGATTTAAAGAGACCTTTCTCCAAAGAAGACATGCAAATGGCTGGTAAGCATATGTGAGGATGGTCAACATCATTAGTCATCAGGAAAGGATATATTAAAATTACAAGATACCATTTCACACTCACTAGGATGGGTATAATCAAAAAGATGATAACAAGTGTTGATAGGATTTGGACCTTCATATATTGCTCGTGGTAATGCTGGTTTAGAAAGCAGTTTGGCCATTCCTTAAAATGTTAAAAATATATGTATCATATGACTCAGTAATTCCATTTCTAGGTATACCCAAGAGAAATTATCCACATACAAGCTGTGCACAAATATTCAAAGCAGCATTATTTTTTTAAGTATTTAAACTCTAGTTAGATGATATACAGTGTAATTTTAGTTTCAGGTATACAATATAGTGTTTCCACATTTACATACAACATCCGGTGCTCATCACAGCAAGTGTATTCATTCCTTAATCCCATCACCTGTTTCACCCACCGCCCACCCACCTCTCCTCTAGTAAATATCAGTTCTCTATAGTTGAGTCTGTTTCTTGGTTTGCCTGTCTTTTTTCCCCCCTTTTGTTCATTTGTTTCTTAAATTCCACATGAGTGAAATCGTGGTATTTGACTGACTTATATTTTACTTAGCATAATACTCTGTAGCTCCATTCATGTCCCTGCAAATGTCAACATTTCATTTTTTATGGCTGAGTAATACTCCATTTTGTGTGTGTGTGTGTGTGTGTGTGTGTGTGTGTGTGTGTGTGTGTATGATGTATATACAGATCTATCTATATATATATAGATATCTCTATATCTATCTATATATGTATATCATGGACAAGACACTGGGCTGTTTCTGTAAATAGCAGCATTATTTTTAAAGTCAAAAGGTAGAAACAGTCCAAATGCCCATCAGCTGGTGTATAGATGAATAAAATGTGCTATGTCCAACAATGGAATTTTTTAAAAATATGGTTGATACACAGTGTTACATTAGTTCCAGGTATACAACATAGTGATTCACCTTTTCTATACATTATGGATTCCTTACCACAAGTGTAGTTACCATCTGTCACCATACAATACTATGGTAGTATCATTGACTGTAATCCCTATGTTGTGCCTTTTATTTCCATGACTTATTCATTTCATAACTGGAAGCTTCTATTTCTCCCTCCCATTCACCCATCTTGCTTGTCCTTCAACACCCCCCACCCCACCCCACCAGCAACCATAAGTTCAAACAATGGAATGTTGTTTGGCTATAAAAAATGAAGTACCAGTACAAACTACAACATGGATGATCTTTGAACACATTATGCTAAGTGAAAAAGACAGTTACAAAAGCTACATGTTATATGATTTGTTGACATGAAATGTCCAGAATGGAAAAATCTGAGGAGACATAAAAGTAGATTAGTAGTTGCTTGGGGATGGGGGTGAATTGAGGGGTATGGAGTGGAATTTCTTTGGTGAGAGATGAAATGTTCTAAAATTAGGTTGTGGTGGTGGTTGTACAACCCTGTGAATTTACTTAAAAACAATGACTTTTATAAGTGGATGAATTGTATGGTATGTGAATTATATATTTCAGTAAAGTTGTTAAAGAAAGTGATAGGTTCATCTGTTGGAGATTCCCAGTAGAATGAAGGATTGTTAGTGTTGGAAGATTCATCTTTGTATATGTTGAAGCCACTACTGATTATAATAGAAGTCTTATTGGAAAGAGTGACAACAAGCCAGGAATGAACACCTTCAAAAAGTAAGGGAAAATAACCTGAGGGAGAGTAGATCATTGCAGCCAGAAAGGATATTTGGTAGTATAGTTTGATGACATAAGATGTCAGCTGAGTGCTTTTGATGGAGGGAGAATGTTTTGGAAATAGACATCAGGAACGTCAAGAACACCTCCATGTTGTAGGCCTGAGATACAAGAAGTGTGGAAGAGAGATCACTTGAGAGGACCCACAGAAGTAGGGTCATCAGGGGATAGCATGTGTTACTAATAGACTTTTATGTTAATCATAAAACAATTTTGAGTACATAGGCAACTTTCTTAGTACCTTCAGCTTCCTAGATGGGCTTTTTGTTCTGTTACTTTTTAAAAATTAATTGTGTGTATCTTGAGGCTTGAGTCTGTTTTATGAATTACTTGATCAAATTAGTGTTTTTGTCTCCTATTGAATCTGTTTCACATTGTTTATGTCCCAGCCTGCATAATTGGGTCTATTCTGATTTATTCATTGTCGTTTTATAATACAATAGGGGATGTGGATATTTGCCAGGCTATATTTCTAACTTACAGGAAGTTTGTCACCTCAATAGGCTGATGTCTCTCTTGAAGTTAGAGGGAATTGATCAGTTATAGAGTAATGATGGCTAGTATTCACAGAAATATAGAAAGAATGTGCTCTTTTTCTACATGAATTTATCCTTCCTAAGTCTTCCAACAGGCAAAGACATCCATAAGACTATTCAAGTTAATACCCTTGAACTTTAGTTCACTTGAGAAGGTTTCTCAATACAGGAACATAATTGATTTGTTTCTCAATACAGGAACATAATTGATTTTGGTATTGTGCAATAACCTGGTCAACTTTGAAGAATCAGTCCCTAAGAATAGCACAAAATTTCTTTTTAGCAAGATAACTGGTATGTTGTTAATTGTTCATAAAGGTCTTGAAAATTTTGGAGAATCTGACACATGGATCAGTGCTTCTAAGTTGTAAAATGGTATATACCTTAAATAAAAATCATTCAATAAGTACCTCCATTTCTGAATTACTCAGTTTTGTGAAAACTGTAGATGCCATGCATGCCACTGTTATAGTTAGTTAAGCCCTTGCTAGTATTGCCCGTGAAGTTAATTTTGTTGTCAGACTATGTGATTTGAATGGTGACAATCTTGGATTTTAAAAAGTTATGCATAAAATACAACAGTCTTGTATTTTAAAAAGTTATGCACAGGGGCACCTGGGTGGCGCAGTCGGTTAAGCGTCCGACTTCAGCCAGGTCACGATCTCGCGGTCCGTGAGTTCGAGCCCCGCGTCAGGCTCTGGGCTGATGGCTCAGAGCCTGGAGCCTGTTTCCGATTCTGTGTCTCCCTCTCTCTCTGCCCCTCCCTCGTTCATGCTCTGTCTCTCTCTGTCCCAAAAATAAATAAATGTTGAAAAAAAATTAAAAAAAAAAAAAGTTATGCACAAAATACAAAGGCGATAAATTTATTACCATCTATTAGGTTCAAACAGGGACAATACTAAAAATGATCAGGCTGGTATTATCATAACATTGACCATGTTTGGTCAGTGACCAGAAAAGATGCTGGTCTGTGGATTATATTAGTACTTACTTACAGCCCTGGTTCTACACATTACTTTAGGTGTTTTGTTAGTCCAATTTAATTTTAATTGTAAGTCTTCATGGTAGACATTATTTTCTCCATTTTTCAAATGAAAACCCTAATGTGTAAAGGGGTAAGTAACTTATGCAAGATCACATAAATTGTTCGAGCTGGGATTTTGAACATAACTTTAACTCTGTAAAATCTGTAATTTTTACTGTTATGCTGCGTTGATAAACTTAAAACTCACTCCACTCTCTGTCAAGGACTGAGTTCACAGTAGTTTGTCATTTGTTTGGAAGAATAGATCACTTTGCCAATTTCAGAATTTTCTGCAATATAAACATTGTTTCTATAAATACCTCCTAAACATTTCTCTTTCCTGTTATGTTTTAGGACGTCTTGCATGGCTGGTATACTTAGTTGGGACAGTTGTTGGAGGAAGGTTAACCTATACCAGTACAGATGAACATGATGCTATGGATGGAGAATTATCCTGTCGGTAAGTGCTGGCCATAAAACTTACAGAAATTTACTAAGTAGTTAAGAAATTTAGTTATTATTGAAGTGGAATTATAAGATAAAACATTTTGTACTTGGCCATTTGAGGAAGGTATTATTTTCTTTTTTACTGGTGAGAAAACTAATAGAGGTTAGAGGTTAAGTGATTTGTAGAAGTCAAATCTCTAATAAGTGTTATAGTCAAATATACTTTAAACTTGCGTCTAAATAGTGTTTAGACTTGCGTCTAAATGAAGGTTTAAGTTGCTTTTTATTTCTTAGGATCTGACAAAGCTTGCTAAATTGGTGTGTATTGGGTGGTGGCAAAATTGGGGTGATATACGTGTGGTCAAAAAGCAGTGGCTAGTCAGTTACCCAATACAAGCTTTGTTTGTGATTGTTGACTAGATTTTCCACCTCATGACTATAGCCTTAATAAGAAGCAATGAATTACTTGCCTTAACACTGAGGAAAATTCCTACATGTGAATAATACACGTGAGTTGGTTTTCTATATATTTTAATTTATTTTTTATTTTATTTATTTTTTTTTTTTTAATTTTTTTTTTCAACGTTTATTTATTTTTGGGACAGAGAGAGACAGAGCATGAATGGGGGAGGGGCAGAGAGAGAGGGAGACACAGAATTGGAAACAGGCTCCAGGCTCTGAGCCATCAGCCCAGAGCCTGATGCGGGGCTCAAACTCACAGACCGCGAGATCGTGACCTGGCTGAAGTCGGACGCTTAACCGACTGCGCCACCCAGGCGCCCCTTAATTTATTTTTTAATAAAATTTTTCTTTATAACAAAGTCGTATGTGTTTTTATTGGACACTTAAATATTTCAAATAAAAAGAAAAGTCATAGATTAATTTGAAGGTAACTATTACTGTCATTTTGCTAAAGACCTTTGAATTTTTTAAATTAATGCTTGAGGGTATATGTACATTTCATGTGTCTTTTCCAACATTTTTTAAACAAAAATTATACTAGAATACTGTTTTGTAAACTAAAATGGGGACAATAATACCTAATTCATTTTGGGCTATTATAAGGATTAAATGAGTTAATATTTTTAAGATGCTGAGAACAATGTCTGGCAAATGGTAAGTGCTATATTACCAAACGCCATCTGCTCCACCCCCGCCCCACAAACACTTCTCTTTTTAAAAAATCAAGCATAATATTGTGATTTTACCTAGACATTAAATATTCTAAGCTGTTCCTTAATTTAAACATACCCTGGTCTTGGGAATTTTAAGTTGTTTCCCAATTTTTCTTCAATGTAAACTGCTTTGAGGTGAATATTCTTTTAGATCAAAATAATTTCATTAGAGTTAATTCCTAAAGGCTGTAGAGTTGGTGGAATGGTCTACAGCATGTTAAAGAGTTTCAATACTAGTTTATTCTCTGAACTCAAAGGCTTTGAGAGTTAACCATATTTTCTGCAGTTGAACCCTAGATAATAGGATTATCTTTCCCAGATAACAGCAAATATCTTGTGTTAATTTTGTATTGCTTTGGTTACAAGTGATGTCAAACATTCTTTTCCATTCCTATTTTTCCCAATTGTATTTTCTCTGTGATTTTTAAATATGTATAGATTGTACCATTTAGCTAGTTTTCTTTTGTGATTATCTTTCCTAATTTGTTTATAAGAACCCAGTATATATCAAAGATCTTAATATTTTGCTATTTATTTTGAAAATGTTTTCTCCATGTTTTTAATTTGTTTTAGAAATTTCTTTCTTACTGGATTTAAATATTTATATGTTCAGATCTATGAAATTTTCCCTTCATATTTTCTCCATTGGTCATGCTTAGAAAAGTTGTTCCACACCTGGATAATAAAAATACTCACCTATGTTTTCTTCTAGTTTTTTTATGGTTTCAGTTTTTTATATTTAATTCTTAATATATTTGACATTTGTCTTATATACTTTTTCCAGAGTTTACATAGTGTTAACCAATTAATGTGAACCTCATCCTTCACACATTTGAAATGCTGCTTATATCTTTACATGAAGATTTTAGGTCTTTTTCTAGGCTTTTCATTCTTTTCCACTGATCTTGGAAGTCTGTTTTCCTCAGTGTAGAATAGAAATATAAGGCAAGTAATTCATTGCTTCTTACTAAGGCTACGGTCATGAGGTGAAAAATCTTGTCAACAATCATAAACAAAGCTTCTGTTGGACAATTGACTATCCATTGCTTTTTGCCCAGATGTATGTCACCCCAGTTTTGCCACCACCCAGTGGCAAAGTTCTTAAAATTATTATACCTGGTTGTGGCATTCTCCTTACTTACTAATCTTAAATATATTCCTAAGTGTTTAATAAATTTGTTGCCATTTTGAATAGAAAATTTCTCTTCATTCCGTATTCTTTTCTACCTTTAAACTAGCCCTTTGCAGTGAAACTGGAGTCTGAATGGAACACAAATATTTTCAGCTTTTCTAAGATTCATTATTTCCAATATAGAATAACTTTAAAATATGAATTGGGGCATTCTTAAAATGCTTTGGTTAATTTTAAACAAAGTGAATAATTTGCCTCCGTGCTATCTTTTAATATAACATTACATGTTTAATAAAGTGGAAAGTAAGTATACTTTTTGCTCTAGTTTGATTTTTTAAAAGTTTTCATCATCAAGCAGAGAAGTACCCACTGGCATTATTTTCCTGAGAAATATATAACAGGAAATGAACAAAAGCAGGTATATTTGCCAAGGAAATAAACAAAAGCAGGTGTATATTTGCCAAGTAGAAAATTTTAATTTTTTCTTTAAGCAACAAATATATTTAACTTTAATATTTGATTTGCGTTTTAGCCGTTCCCTAGAAAACAAAGCATTAGGTGAAGATTATGGTCTAAGGTTTTATTGAAGAGTGGGGAGACAGGTGCATTTTCAAGGAAGGAAAAATGAAGGAAAAGAAAAATTGAGAGAACAGGGGAAAACAAATACCGTCAATAATCCTCATCCACAGATTCCAGTTTTGCAAATTTGTGTACTTGCTGAAGTTTATTTGTAACCCCCAAACCAACGCTTCTGGTGCTACTGCAGGCATTTCTGGATATGTATGTGCATGGAAATTTGAGTTGCCTGATTCCCATTTTCCCAGCTTTGCCTTCTCGTTTCATACTCTAATACTGTAAATAAGTGTCCTTTACATTGTCTGTTTAGTGCCATATTTCTCACGTTTTTGTGCTTTTTGTTGGTGGTTTTACTATTTACAGTGGTCCCCAATGTAGTGCTGAAGTGCTGTCTGATGTTCCTAAGCACAACAAAAAAGCTGTAAAGTACCTTACAGAAAAAATACGTACATTAAGTAAGCCTCATTCAGGTCCAAGTTGTGCTATTAGCTGTGAGTTCAATGTTAATGATCAACAATACATATTAATAAATAAGATGTCTTTAAAGAGAAACACACATAAAACAAGGTTATTTGTTAGATTGGTTAATGAAAACATTGTCACCAGTGTTCCTCAGGAACCTAACCCTGTATTTCCTCTGGGAGCACAGTGGTTCAGTATTGACTAATACAGTTTTCATAATGCCTTTTGAGAACATAACTACCATGAATAATGAGAATCAAGTGTATAAGATGGTACATTACAGACCTTGTTGCTTGCTGTTACAGGAGTTTTTCCCAGAGGCCACATGGACCAATGTGTTTCAAAACAGTTCATGGTGGTGGCAGGATGGGGGACTAAGGGCAAGGCATTTTTCTGTCTGCTTATTTTTGTGTCCCGTTTCTTACTAGTTAGTGTCTACTCCCGGGGTGCTCAACCTTTTCATACTTCATAGCTGTGTTCCCTGGCCTCTTTGAGGTATCGCTGGGGAAGCCAGAGCTTCTATTGGTCCTGTTGGGGTGGGAGGTAGGGGCTAGAGCTGTTCTAGGCCTTACCTCTTCCCCGGGTAAAGATTTACAACTGCAGGAAGTGTGTGAATCTTACTGGAGCCAAAAGACAAGTGGTTGAGGCCAGGGATGGGGTGAGAGGTAGTGGTGAGGTTGGTGTGTATGTAAACAGGGCTAAGCAGATTCAAGATCAAGGTGGGGCATAGAAAAAATATAAATATCTGTTGTGAAATGTTGAGATTTTAAATTAAATAAGAATATGGTTTTATGTAGAATTTTAAAATATCTATTTCATATGAAGAAGTTCCAAGTAACTGGAACTGTAATACTGTTGCCTTCTGTGTATTGTTACATGATACCTTTTTAACTCCTGGGGGAACAATACCAAATTAGAAGACCATGAAGCTTCTGCCAGAAACCTATATGCTATTTTATCAGGAAAAGGTTAATATTCATAAAAGCTCCCAATATTGTGATAATTATAATTAAAACATGTTACTTTAACATATTTAAATATGCTACTTTAACTTGGCAAATAAATATATTAGTGCTCAGGCCATGCAATTCTAATTAAATAAAGATAATTTTATAGTCCTTTCCGTTTCATTCCTCATTACCAGAATGTAACCCTCTTGAGTGATTACCCAGAGACTGTGTTTTATTCATCCTGTGTCTTCTCAGTTTGCTCGTGCTAATAGAGCGACTGCTGCTTTTAGGCTTA